AATGTGGCGCTGAAAGCAGCGTGCCACTCAACACTCACAACACTCACCACTCAACACTCAAAATACTCAAAACACTCACACTAATTCCCCCGTGTGTGTCGGCAATCAAATGAACTGTAAAGAAAAATCGAAAATTCGCGTTTTATTGTTTCCAATTAAGCTGATTGAGTGTGTGTGTGTGTGTGAGTGTGTGTGTGTGTGTGTGTGAGGGTGTGAGTGTGCGTACGTGTGCATGGGACACGCTCGAGTTAATCCATGAACAGAACACACCCAATTCCAGCGACCAAATACAACAAATTTATGTGCTACTTTTAACTAATCGTCGAGATCGTCGCGTCGCATCGCGTCGCGTCTGCATTTTTATACATACGGGCACACTAATTGTTTGTCGATGCTTTTTATTTTATTTTTATAAAGCAGCCACAAATTTATGGCACAGACATAGCAATAGAATGGGTGCGCTATGTTGTTTCAAGTTGTCACATAATTATCTATCATACTATACTTGTGCCCCAATGGCTACAGTCGGCCCACCACATAAGCCACTCTGCCCTCTTTGTCGACTGCAATCGAACGGACTTTATGATCTGTAGACTTATTTATACATATAGGTATATCGCTCATTAAAATTTACCAAAGTATAACTAGTAATTAAACGAATGTATTGAATATTTTCGATGAAGTTGAATTAATTCATTTAATTTTTTAAAATTCATTTTCAATAATTACTTTAATATATTTAATATATTCAATACGGACATAGTATCTCTAATTTCTAAAACCATAAACTTAGCTGCCTGACTACAATCAATGAACAATTTGCATTCAACGGTCATCAAAATTATTTCCATTTAAATCACATATTTGTTCGGTATACCTAACAGAATTTCAGCAAGAAAATAGTTAAACAAAGCCTCCAAAACTAGGAAAATTTCAATTGATTAGAATCCGATACTCTTCTACTTTAAAATTAAAGTTGCTCTAAAATGCCTGGTTTAGTTATTCGAAAATAAAAAGGATTTATATTTTTGAATGAGATTTTAGTCTATAGGGATACTTTTTGATACTTTTCAAGAATATTGGAATATATGTGTGCATTCATTAAAGGTGCTTCTATTGAGATATGTTTCTAGTTTGAAATGTTTGCTGCAGATAGAGAATAGAATTTTTCAATTCCAAATTGTCAGTTCAAGTAGTATCAGTTGAAGATTTGTCCGACGCATAAAATATCGATAATAGATGGAAATAAGAATATCATCAAAAGGTGGTCAGAAAAACATATAAATAGTAACGATAACAAATTCAACTTAAAATATAAATAAAGTATTGATAACAAAAACATCTAATAATCCTGTTTACTCAGCACAATTTTTAGAATATAACAATCAACTATCAATTAATTGATAATTAAAATTTTGAAATCAATTGATAAAAATTGATAAAGCTAAAAAGCTATTCAATGTAGTCCGAACTGTATTCTTAGCAGAACATTCTCAACGGAAGTCTACAGTTAAGTTGTTTAACCTTCAACCTTGACAATTAACCCTTCTATAGCCCACTACAAGTATATATCTGAGGACTTAATGTCTACATACAAGTATATAGTAACAGAATAACGTATTTAACGAACATCCTTTCACATAGAAGTTCGACTGTATGATATAGCAATAGTATTCGACATGATATTGCATCATCGAGTCGGCCGGCAGCTCAATGGGCTTATCGAACGAGCACAGCAGTTAGCACTAAATACCGGGAATCAACTCAATTACAATGCGTGTCAAAGGCAATAATAATGCAGTGCTAGGGAAAAAACGCATTTGAGTGAGAAAAGGAGGTAATGGGATTTTTTATTCTTCTCGCATTATCCCCATTATTATTATTATCATTAAAACGATATGAAAAGACAGTCGCATGGCCATGAAGATGATGAAGCGTGGGCGTTGGGGCACATCATTGAATCCAATGAACAGTGCGAATCAGAGTGGTGGATGCGGTGGGTTGAGGGGCAGGGGCAGAGGCAGAAGCAGGAGAGTGGGAAGCAGAAACAAGTTAAAATGAAATTCATTTTCATTTGCGAGAATGATGCGAACATGCGCGAAGCATTGGACATTGCACATGCTTCGATATCGCGCCTTGCAGTTGCCAAGGATAAGGGCATGTCAATAAGCATTAAGGAGCATTGCAATTGCGAGTTTCGAATGCGCCATTGTCATCATCACAGTTACTGCACATTGTAGTTGTCGCTGTCATTGTTGTCATGTTGTTGTTCTTGTTGTTGTTATTTGGCAAATAAGCAAGCGGACAGGCATTGTTGTCATCGGTCTCATCCTCATGCTCGTCCTCGTTCTCGTTCTCGTCCTCATCATCGTTCAGCAACGTCGATGATGCAGACATAAGATATGAAAAATATGAGGCTGAAGCACAAACTATAACAACAATATGCGTGCCACAATCTCAGGCAGTACAGGCCAGGCCGGGCCAGGCCCGGACCCAGCCACAGACCCGAGACTCAAGCCAACGCCAGACTGTCCCAATGGCATAAAGCAGGCGCTCATGCGTGTGTTACTGTCTCTGTACTAGAGATGGGTGCGTGATTACTCTGACAGTGGAAAGAATGAATGGGAATTGAGCTTACACGATTGTGAAAGAAATATGATGAAAAGTAATTTGGAAGTTACTAAATTATATAAAATTCTATCTATTTTATGTATATAATTTTTATAGATTATTTAAATAACACTTGCTATGACAAAATATCGGAGAAATCATGAAAAAATAGCATCGATGTTCTTAAAGGAGATAAAAAAATACTAGTTATACGAACGGGTGTTCAGCGAATTGAAGAATAAATGCCTGAATTAGTAAAATAAATATATTAAAATGTTCTTGAACTCATCGATGCCTTTTTGAAATAGGAAGGTTCAGGTCAAAGTTCGCTTTGAAAAATTGTGGCGAAGTGTATGTTCTGCCTTAAACCAATGAGTTAAATTATTTTAGACTATCCATTTGTCTCAATGTATGAACGCAAATATTGGAAAAAGAATGAGAGATAGAGCCTGGAAAACCTACATGAAGGTTCATTGATGAATTCTGTATTTTCTGTATATGATTATGATTTTCGATTTTAAGGTTCAAGCACTAATCAAACAACGTGTTGGTGTTTTAGCACGCACCCATCTTTAGTTCTGCCGTCCTGTCAATGCGTGGGCATTGGAATGAACGCTTTATATGCACATACATATATACAATACATATTAAATACGCACACAGACATCTACAATATTAATATGTATAAGTATGTATGAGTTGTGTTGTTGCTGCACTTGCTACCCAGCAGCTCCCGCTTGGCATAAATCACGCTTAATGCCACGCAGCATCTAGCAACAGCAAACAAAAACAACAACAACAACAACAACAACACCAGCCTTAAAAGGCAACAAATATAGCGAAGTGAAGTCAACCTCGTCGTCGTCATCATCATCATCGTCCTTTGCACATAAATTGCAGTCAAGTGCTGCCAATTAGTTTGAAAATTATGATATGGCCAACTAATTAAATGAGTGCTGCAAAGCATAAAAATGTTCATATAGTAGCTACGAGTGTAAAGATACATGCACAAAAATATATACATATAGTATATGTATAAAAAAGAGGGAGAGAGTTTAGCAATAAATACCACAACAACAAGAAGTGAAAAGCAACAAAATCAATAAAGCCTGGACTTTCCACCATGCCAAGTACAGGTGCTTTGCCTAACAATGAGAAGATGATGGAGGAAGTGGCTGACTACATTTTCATCAATCAACAACAACAGCAGCGCTTCAACAATCAATCATACGTACACACACACACACACACACACACACACACACACACACTCACACTTAAGTTGGCCAACCCCGGGAAAAAGCAAAAAGAGTAGCTTCGCAATGTCTATGATTATTAATTATTTATAGAAAGTGCCGTTGCCATTACATGATTAGATTACGCATGGCTCAGATCGAGCAACCCTTTGGTACTCGTAGTTTAAGGATATTTCTACTGCTACTTATAGAGTCATCGACATACCGCCAAAATGGTTTTAGGGGCTTTGCAGACAATTGGTAATTGAAAAGGCAACTTACAGTTGCGGTAGCAATCGAATTTCCTTAAATAACATATATGTGTTGTCCACTACAGTAAGTTTGTATCCTCCCCTACTACTTGTATTTTATTGCAAATACTATAAAATAAGTAAGTAATAGAGTATAGCATTATTTGCTACTAAGGGTTGTCGAATTAAAACAAAAGTGGACTTGCTGCAGGAAGTATTGATTTAAAGCCGTTTTAAAGTCTAATATTTAGCTAGAACTGCCCACTAGTGATTCAGTAATGACTTTTACCTACGACGAGAATTAAGTCATTCAATAAATAACTGATTAATTACGATAGAACACTCGCTTTTGTGAGACATTTTGTCTACCTGTATAGCCACTAGTGACCCAGTGATTATTACAATTAATATTAAATTAATTAAATTAATAACTGATATAAATAGATCTCTCTCATTTACCAACTGGTGAGCAGTTTGACTGTCTACCTGTATAGCCACTAGTGACCCGTTGATGATGCTCACAACAAGTCTGCTTACAATTCATTAATTAAATAAATAACTGATTAAGAGAGATTAAAATTAACTTCTCTTGTTATCAAGCAGTCTGAGTACTATCTACCTGAACAGCTAGTAGCTCCCAATTAGTGAGCCTTTTGACTGTCTACCTGTATAACCACTAGTGACCCATTGATGATGCTCACACCAAATCTGGTTACAGTTTATAAATTAAATAAATAACTGATATAAATAGCCCTCTCTTATTGCCGAGCGCTCTGAGCACTATTTACTAGTGCTGGTGACCCCCTGTTAACCGAATTTTTTGCTTCATTACTTTTAAGTATTCTCGTAGCTCCTTCCACTCACTAATCAATTACTTTCTCTCTATCTCCATCTCTACTTGTAGTCTGTCAATGTAATGGACATGCACGTCGCTGTCGGTTCAACCTGGAGCTGTACAAGCTGTCGGGACGTGTGTCGGGAGGTGTTTGCTATAATTGCCAGCACGATACGACTGGACGTTATTGCCATTATTGTCGCGAGGGCTACTATCGGGATGCTAACAAGCCGCCGAATCATCGCAAAGTCTGCAAACGTAAGTATCCGACAGTTGTGGATCTGAGGCTGATTGAATAACAAGATGCTGCAAACATTGATAAGAGATATGTCATCAATCAGTTCAGACAAGTGTTAATGCAATAATGTCAACTGTCAACTGGACGGACTGACAGACGGTTAATGCTTAATGAGGTTTTTTTTCTTTTTTTGACACTAACTTGTCTCTCCATGTTCTTGCTTTTATGTTACCCCCTAAGGCTGTGACTGTCATCCTGTGGGCTCTACGGGCAAAACGTGCAATCATTTGAGTGGTCAGTGTCCTTGCAAGGAGGGCGTCACCGGCTTAACCTGCAATCGTTGTGCGCGAGGCTATCAACAGACACGTTCCCATGTGGCTCCATGCATCAGTAAGTACCCCCATCTATCACTCAGAAACAAAATGGTTCCAAGCAATCGATTGCAATATTTCTTGCCTATTTAAGATGTGTATTTATTCCTAAGACTAATAACTTAATCTAATGAAGTGAGTTTGATGCAAAGTTGAGAAATCTTTGAAAACTCTTTTTAAATATAAAATGTAAACTATATAAACTTCTTACCAGCTTTGGGCTTTTATTTGGAAAGCTTTTCATAAGTTTATTATTGAGCATTGTTCTCTATATGTTAACTAATAGATACGTAGTTTTTCTCTGAGTGTACGCTCTCGCTCGCACACCCTTCTAACACAACTGTCAACATTCACTTGCAATTAACAGAAGTGCCCACAAATGCGAATATGATACAAGCGGAGAGCGCCGGCGGTGGCGGAGGCGGAGGCGCAGGGGACTACAAAGATGGTGGCGGCACGCAGGCCGAGGAAATGAAAAAGTGTAAGTAATAAAAAGGGAAGAGAGAGAGAGAGAGAGAGAGAGAGAGAGATAGGGACAGAGATGCTAAATAAAATTACTCCCCTTTTGCAGATTGTGGCAAATGCAAGGCCAGCCCCAAAAAGCTGAATCTGAATAAGTTCTGCATGGAGGACTATGGTGCGTATGCGTAACATTTTACTTTGACAGCACATTTGGTTGAACAAACGCCTTTTCCCCTCTTTCCCTCTTTCCCTCTCTCCCCATTCTCCCTCCCCCCCTTTGTCACTGCAGCTATATTGGCCAAGGTCATTGGACACGATCGCGCTTCGCAGGACATTAGCACCGAAAAGTTTTCGATTGAACGACAGAACGAAATTTATAAATATGAGATAAACATTCAGACGATTTTTAAACGCAACCCCATGTCGGGCACTACGAGTTCGCTTCTAGGACGCGGCAATATGATGCTGCTGGTACCGCGCAAGAGCATCGAGTGCCAGTGTCCAAAGATCAAGTTAAACAAGTAAGTAGAGTGTGAAAGAAATGCCCTTAAAATTTTAAATTCTCAGCCAATTGCTCAGGAGAAGTGGCAGTTTATTTGCTTTTTATTTATTTTTTTTAATTTTTTGACTCTTTACATAATAACTATATTGTTATTGTGCAAAATGTTTTTAAACCCAACAAATGAATGGCTTCTTCTTTCTTTTTTTTCGGAATTTAATCGAATTCGGAAGCTGAAACCAATGCAAACTTTTGTTCTCATATTTGCTTACAGATCATATCTGATACTTGGCCGCGACTCGGAGGCAGCGCCCGGCTATTTGGCAATTGGGCCCAGCTCTGTGGTGCTCGAGTGGAAGGACGAGTGGTCGTTGCGCATGAAACGCTTCCAGCGGCGTGCGCGCAAATGTAGTTGAATCGAACCGGAAACGGAATATGTCAGAGCGGATTTCAATTTCATTCACTTGGCTAGGTATCGGTTTTTGTATAAATTGTACAGTTTACTCAAGTTTTTGACCTTTTTCGGCATCATGCTATAAGTACTACTACTACTACTACAACAACAACTACTCACTCCTCCGTAAAAGTCGTAGCTCACAACCCAATACCCTAACACCCCAACTCCCTAAATAGCAAACAAGCAAGCAAAGAAACAAACAAACAAACAAACACACACTATAGTCAGCAAACTACTCGTATAACTGAAAAGTAAAATGCAAACAGCGGAGTTCCAAAGTTCACAGCTCGCTGTTGGTATCTATGCTAATTAGCGGCATGCTCTAGTCTCTAGACCCACTTTATTCCCATCCGATTTTGCCTGCCATTCCAGGCATACACGAAAGCCAATCAAATGCTAATTACAGTTAATCATGTGTGCGTGTGTGTGTATATACGAGAGTAAAAGAGACAGAGAGAGAGAGAGAGAGGGAGAGAGACCAAACACACATTGAGGACACAGACAAAGTTAGTTACGAGTTTATAATCAATTGCAAATGTACTTACCAGATGTTTTTGGCTTCAAGTTGCTGCAAGTTTTCAAATTGAGGAGCTTAAGCAAAGCAGCACAGATGCCCCATTAATAGTCATTCACACTCACTCACCCACTCATTTACATACTCACTTATTGTTCTCTTCGGCACTCAATCAGCTTCATAAACAAGCGAACAAATCAGGTCGCATCTGCATCTCTATCTGTATCTGTGCGTGCTTCAAATCTGCTCAAAGTTATGGCGAACTGCAACAAATCTCTGTTTAATTGCTGATTTCAAATAAATTATGAAATGCATCGCAATTTACTGAAACATTAACGCTCAGTCGGCATTGTACTTATAGACATATAGTCGTCGTTATTACTCCTTAATGCAATACAAGGTTTGTAGTTCTTTTCTAGCTCTTTTTAAACTTTTTTTTTAGTTTCATAAATCTAAAAGTAATCAAAGGTGCAAATGCATACTTAACCCTTAGATGAATAGCTTTTATTTAACTTCTTCTCTAATTAGCCAATACCAGTCCCCACTGACTCTTTTATTATTTCCTGAACAGAGTTCCATGTCAATACAATTTGAATTAACAATCGAAATACATTTATAGTATCTGTGTAAGCTATCAAATTTTCAGATTGATGGCTTGCAACCGAATCGGTTTTTCGGTTTCTTTTTCCAATTGAAATTCAAGGCCAGTCAAGAAATCACCGTCAGCCCCCGTGGCCGAAACCCGATTGTTTGGAAATAAAGCGACACGTCAATAATTTCTAATTTAATTTGTTTTAGGCGCTAATTGCTTCATTTGATTTGCCAAATTATTATTGATATTTCTGTCATTTGCTTTTGTTATTGGCTCCACTAATTTAAATGTATATACATATGCATACAAGTATGTACTATACTCGTATATACAATGGTGATAGCCTTTGTTGTTTTTATTGCCGTCGATGCTAATTATGCAAACATGCCTATGCCCATTTCGGTTAGTTTTATTTTCACGCGCTTTTGCATAACAACAGATGTTGTTGTTGCTGTTGTTATTGTTGGCACAACCAGAAGACTCAAGAAAATTGATATGCATATAAAAATGTAAAATTAATTTAAAGCGCATTTATTTTAATTCAATTTCCAATTCGAATTATGCATGCAAATTGGCGACGCATCAGTTTTCGAACGGCAGCACCAACCAGACAATGAAAATGAATGAAATTAATGATCGTGAGAGGCGGACGGGTAGGGAAAGGGAGAGGGAGGGGCAAGGGGGGGGGGGGGAGGCGCACAAAAAGTGTTGTAACTTGTTATGCGCTACAGTCAGCAATGACTAAAATGAACCCAAACCAAGCATTCTGCGACACGATCAACACTTTGAAAGCCTTTTCAAATAAATCAAATACTTCATTTATGTTAGGTTCGATGTTAAAGTATTACAATTTCCCTATTATCTAATGCATCCTTTTCACATTGCAAGTTCAATAAAAATCATAATCAGTTTAAAATCAATGCCAAAAGTCAGTTAAACACAATTGATTATAAGGAAAAGACAAAGCTACATCCATTCTCAAAAAAATCATAAATTGAAGAAGGGCGAAATTAAAAAAAAAAAAAACATATTAGTTTTTTTTAATGATCAGTTGTTTTAGTTTATAACCGATATGCTGAAATATGTTTAAAGAATTTGGTAACTAAAGTTGTAAGCAATTTCTACAAATTATTTCCGAACTAAGCAGATGTCCAAAATAAATGAAGTAATAAGAGATTGAACAAATAATTGAGATTAGATAAAACGAAATATCACTTATTCCCAAAAATTTGAGAATTTCAAAATGATTATCAATTTACACAAGCATGGATTGAAGCATTCTTTAAAATATGTAAGTACAGATGTGGAATATATATTAAAGTGTGTGTTTTGAAAACCTTAAGTACAGTTAACAGGGAACATTTTTTAAACATTTTTTTTAAAATTAATTTCAAATAAAGTTTACTAAAAATATTATTCGCTTGTGAACATTAGTTTCAAAAATATTTAAACATTTTAAAAAAAAAAAACCTAAAAATTGAAAAGTTAAAGCAACTTATTTTTTTTTGAAATCAGAAATATCAATCATATTGTTACAAAAATAGCATTTGCTTGCGAGCATCATTTTCAAAAATCTGTAGACTTTTCTAAAGGCAACTAGAAATTGAAAAAATAAAGCAATTTGTATTTTTCTTACATCAAACATAAAAACTAGTTGTATTTTCAAAATCTTCAAGCTTCAAAGCTTATTTAAAAATATCTTCACAAACTTAGAGAATTAGAAGATATGGAGCTATTTATATTTATTTTTTTAAATCTCAAGTAAAGCTTACAAAAACATGTTCTAAAATCTTCAAAACTTCTTAATAGCTTTTAAATTTAGTTGTCGCCTCGATTTCAATTAATTTGGTAACAATTTCTAAAATGTAAATCGTGTTTCGTTTTTATTCAAAATGTCACTCCTGTGCCGCCTTTTACACCTTTTAGGTGAACTCCACTTTAGGCGTGTGTGTGTATCTGTGTATCTGTGTGTGTCTGTTAGCCATGTAGTGGAAAATGAAACTGAAAAAAAGCTTGACATATGCGCGCAACACTTGAAAACAACAACAACATGAAACACGTTACAGAAATTAAACAAAAAGCAAAGCAACAAAAATATATGCATGTAGTATGTGTATGAAAAAAATAAAATAAAAAATCAAGCAGGGAGCATACAAATAAGTTATTTCGTGGGCAGTTCTCTGTTGTTTCTCTGTCCGTCTGTCTGTCTGTCTGTCTCTGCTTACAGTTACACAGTTACAATTTTGGAGTGCTTGTTGCTGTCGCTGTTGTTGTTGTTGTTGTTGTTGCTGGTTGTGGATTAAACATGTTTGACTTAAAACGTAACATGATATATGACAGCAAGTGTCGAACTTGATAAATGCTTTAATGAATTTATTTTCGTGTTATTTTTTTTTGAAGCTCGCTTGAGTGAATCAGTGTGTGTGTGCTGCTCGTTTTGTTTGTTTTTTTTCTCTTTGTATTCATATTCATTGTCATTGATGTCGCTGCCGCCTACAAATGTCACAGCATTCCATGGCCAGTCATTCACTCAACCAACTCTCATTCGGGCCGACACTGCCTTTTTATTTTGGACAATTTACAAGCAACTGTGGCCGTGACCATGATATATTATAAATCAAAATGGAGCATACGGACAGAGCTCTGGAGCTGGGACAGCTAACATGCTGAGCCATTTAAGTCCAGATTTGTGTGTGGCTCTGTGCACATTAAAGCGAAATAAGGCGGCATAATTAGCGGCGACTGTTGCTGCTCCTGCTTTCGGACAACATGACGTATGCGTCATGCACACGTGCGCCAGCGCACGCACACACACACGCACACTCACACACTATGTATGTATATGGATTTATATGTGCGTGTGGCATGCATGTGTCAGCGTCAGGACAAGTGATAAATGCGACTGCAACTGCAACAAATACATAAAAATCATATTTAAACAGCAAAAGAAACAAAAAGTGTTTACAGTGCACACTTGCTACAATGAACAGGAGCTCATTTCAGAATTGGCCAACAAACAGCATTACAGTAGGAAGCTGTGCTTCCATATTGACCTGGAAGCACGCTACTTTTGATTTAACTCCAATATTCTCATTGCCTGAGCTGATGAAAAAATTAACTTTGAACTACAAACGAAATACCAAACTTAAAAGTTTTCGCCACAACTTTTCACTTTTTTGTATCATTAAATACAAAAGGTGGCTTGCTGATAAAAATGTTGGTAAAACTCATATCGTTGCAAGCAAATTAAATACAGGCAGCTCATTACGGATAATAAAAAATTGCAACATTGCATTAGTTTCAAAAAATGTTTAAAAAGCAAATAGATATCATAATCGTTTTCCCAAAATACATTTAATTAAGAAATATGCTTAATAACATTTTTTTTTATGCATACAAATTCTTAGGTTTATAAACAGTTCAGCTGTCTTTTGATTTATTGGTTCTTGGTGGCTTTTTATTTCAAGCTAATTGCACTGCAGTTGGGTATAATATTTTCAATGGCCATCAGTTGGCCGCATTTTCGAATATTTGAATAATTAACCAAGTAACTAAAGTGCAATCCATTGTATATATATATATTTGTTTTTATTTTGGAAGAAAAGTTGCTTATAAAAAATCCTTTTCTCAGCAATAACAAATCGCTATTAACTCTTATTTATTTATTCGCACAATTCTTTTGTAATGTTAAATTGCTGGGACTAAGAGTACTTAGTAGTACTTATACTTTCACCAATGAGTTACTTCTCCATAAAGGAATTATTTTTAAATACTCTAAGTCCTTATCAACATAATGTCAGCAGTTGAAGGTGTTAATCCCCAATTATAAGTGCATTTTAAATTTAAATGGAAATCAATTTGTTTGCAAATTCCTATCACTTAAAAATTTGGACTATAATAAGACAATATTCTTCGTCTTTCTCCTGCGTTTTCGGCTTAAATTTCTGAAATGTTTACATTGTGTGCGATTTTTTTTCAAAGTGCAGGCAAGGCTATTGAAGGTCCTTCCATACCCAGCAACAATTATATGTCAAATAATTCTGATTAGAGTTTCGCCAAAGTGCGTGATGACTGTGAAATTGTTAAACAAACAAAAAATGGCCATAAACGGAACTAACGAAAAAAATTCAATTGTGGCTGTAGCTGTGGCTGTGGCTGCTTCATGCATATTTAAATGAGATTTTGCGTTAACTGAATTTTGTCAGCGGCAGCTGCCGGCCAGTAGCCGAGTGTGGGCGGAAGCCGGGGCGGGGCAGGGCGTGGCCGATGGCGTTGAATGAAACAAATGGCCATGAAAAACCATATTAATTTACGCACACACACACGCACGCACACCCAACCATGCGAGTGCATGAAACAGTTATGCGTATTTAAATAAATTGTGTTATTGTTGCTTCTTTTTCCCCATTTCTTTTCACTTAACTGTTTTTTTTTTTGTTTTTTTTTTTGTGAGCGCCTTTCACTGCGGCAGCATGGCCTGTTGATGGGCGTGGTCGGGGGCGGGAGCGGGAGCGGGAATGGGGACATATGTTGGCATACATGAGTTGGCGGTTGTCGCCTCAAATTAGCATATAAATTGAGTAAAAAGTAAAAAGTCAATGTCTTTCTCTCTCACACACACACACACGCACATACTCGTATATACACACACATACACAGACACATTCGCGACGGCAAGTAACTGTAACTTAGCAGGATTTCATAATACAGATAAAAAGCAAAGCAACCAACCAACCACCCACCCACAGCTGACAAATTGACTTCCGTTTCCGCGTTGAATACAAAACAAAAATAAAAAAGGGAAGAGAAGGAAATACACGAAATATATAAGAAACTCCGCATCTTTAAAAGTGCTTCAAAACTTACAAAACAAAAGAGAAAAAAAGGAAATCCCACAAAAAATTGATGGAGAAACAAAAACATAACCAAATTAGTCATTAGTTAATATTTATTTTATTTTATTGTACTTTTCTAACTAACCTAGCAACTATCGATTAATGAGCGCAGCAGACAAAGTGAATTTTTTTTTATTTGTTGTCAAAATGTATTTATATATATATATATTTATATTTACATATACATACATATATTAAACAAACGAACAAACAAACATATATAAAAATGTATTTGTATGTTATGAACTCAGCACAAATACATACAAAAGGCCACGCAATATGCATTGTACTTACTTACCTACTCGTATGTAGCGACAACTTACAACATATCCTGCACACACACATACACATACACACACACACACACCCCACATACACACACATCTAAAACACACGCACACTCGTGACGATTGAACGTGCCAAGAGAATTTTTTTTTATGAAAATTAAATTGATTAACTAATATCATTATTAATGTGTGTGTGTTAATTACATAAATATTTATGTATGTAGTGCTATATAAATATACGTGCATACAAACATACATATATACATATATATACATATATACGTATGTG